TGCGGAAAATGTCCATGGAAACTTTTGGTGCTTCTAAGAAGAGGAAAGCGGAACCAGATGAGTCGCCAGAAGAGAAGCGGTGTGAAAAGCGGAGAGGTGGCAGCGACACCGTCCAGTTTTTAAAGGAGCATAGTGAGATGGAGTTTCAGTTTAAAAGAGAAGAACTTGAAGCTAAGAAAAATGAGTAGTCGCTTTTAACTGAGCAACAGAAGCAACAGCAACAGATAATTTCCATGTTGCAGTAACAACTACAGCAACAGAATCAATAACAATTACAACAACAGCAGATGCAGCAACATCTGCAACAGATGCAGACCATGTTTATGGAATCTCAGAAGCAGCAAGCGCAGCTAATGGCCACCTTATTTCAAAAAATGTCAGAACACAAATAGAGTGCAAGGTTATTGTGTTAAACATTGTTTTAATAAGTAATTTAATGAACAATGTTTGCATCATCTAGTAACTAATCTAGAACTTTGTTGTGTTGTTAATAATTTAAAGAATATTTATCGAGGCCTTGAAACATTTGGTACATGTACTTCTTCCCTCATTTCCTTGTGTTTACATTCAGGGAGCTTGTATACGTACTTAAGCGAATTAAGATGGGATCGCATGACTATCGGCAAAAACGTTTCTTCATTGTTTATTTCACAAGATATCATTCAAGAATATTCCTCACTGACACTGTGTGTTATAAACAGATAGTTTAAGAGAAATAATCATAAATATTTGGAGGGTCGAGATAAAAAAAACGTGGATGTGATGTTTCCATACAAGCATGTTATTGTATTCCTTAGCAAAGCAGAAACTGTGTACATTTTTGCCCCTGAGCTCAAACCTATCTTTAAGTTTTTCTTAAAATCGTTGATTATGTCGGTAAAAAGCCACTCTACTGAAGGATGAACGGCACTCATTGAACTATTAAAATCCTCCTTCTGTTGAGTAAGAACCACATTTCTGAAGGGAGCCTGGAGATAGACTCTCAGTGGGTATGCTGGGTCTCCATACAGGCACAAAGGATGCCCAGCCGGGTCGAAAGAGTTCCTAGCTAGCTCGTTGTACACCCCGGAATCGGCAAGCATCCCGCTGTCATGCCTCCTACCCTCTTTAACGACAAAAAAGAAGAATATCACATAACAAGAACAGTATGTTTATGTCAAGCCCTTCTTTTTTTGTAGACCCGCTCTTCCCTCCTCTAACTTCTTCAAAAATGTATCAAAATAACTCCATCCTATACCAACGTTTCTGTGGTACTCATCTGTAATTTTATCATTTCGTTTATCGTTTCACAAATAGCAAGAGCACATATCATAAACTAATTAAGCAAAAATACAGCTAACGCCGACACAAAAAACAGAAGAGTGTTTACTTCAGGTTAAAACTGTTATAACCCCGGAAATGAAATTACATTTAGTTTGGTAATTGCCGTACGTTTTGAATGCATGTATATTTCCACTCACCTACTGGGCCATACAAGTTGGCAATGAGATCATTTGGAGTCGCAATAGATTGGAATTTCAAGGAATGTACACGTTTTTGGCCATTGTAGACGATTCGTTGATTTTGAAGAGGGCGGCAAATAGGGCAAACAGTGCCATCAATAAAACCCCAGCAGTTATTCAACGGTGCACCCTTTCGATGGTCGCATCTGCATATGTTCACAGAGAGGCACGGGAGAGGAAGGGCTGATTAAAATCAGTAAGGTGGTGGCCATGTTCGGTGTAAATCCAGTCTGAAACAACGTTGGTCATTATGCTTATTTCTGAAACAGGTCGGCCAAATCTTGGTATCATGTCACTATAACGACAAGGATACGCAAGCCGTTTAAGCAGCATACACAGGCCTTCCATTCCATCGCACACGGACCTCTGTGAGCAACGGAAAATAGGTGGAGTGCCAACAGTGTCTGCAAAAATGGGCAAATCACTCCTCTCGACACGAAATTCTGCTATGCATTCTTCGTCGCTGAGATTCTCCAAGGAGAATTCCTCATAGTTGACATACGGAAATGGTGGATTTTTTGGCTGATTTACGTCGTAAAGACTAGCAAATTCATTTGCCTTTGTGACTCTTTTGATAAAGGAAACCAAAAGTAAATCTTGGGTTTGCATTAAGCTCGACATGAGCGAACAATACGAAGAAATCGAAAGCTTTATTGTGAATTTTGAACTCATCGCTAAATTTGGGAAGCTCGCTGGGCGCGGCGTCGCGTTTTTCACGCGCTTTGCTTAAGGATGGCAACTCGCAGTCGCGACTGCAACTTGAAGCCGTTCTATTCCCGGTCTCTTATCGGTCGTCACGTCGCCGTAGTCAACGAAAACGTCTGTTGCTTAAGGTGACTACCTAGGAATCAATAGCACCAAAACCCAAGCAATAGTACTTGGTAACAGCTCCTACAATTTTGAATTCTTTATGGACCCGCTGCAAGCTATTGACATTGTAGTATACTAGGACAGCGGTTGTTTATGTAAAAGTATACATCCGGGAAAGTGTGAGCGCGGGAAGATTATTAAAGAAACGTGTACTGTGTGTACTGTTGTTGTTCGCCTTCGTGGCTGCCTTTTGTGGCATACTTCTTCATTTTTAGACACTACAGACATAAAGCCGATTCTAAAGATCCTGGGCGTTACGCTGATAAATAAACTCTCCTTCAAAGATCACGTAATACTTATGCTAAAAAAGGCTTAGGCAAAAATCGCCTCTCTCCGCAGAATAAAGCGTCTTTTACCTTTCTCTGTTATGATCTCTTTGTACAAAACATATGTGTTACCTCAGTTGGAATTCTGTTCCCCTCTTTTGTTGGGAATCTCTACTTCCCTGAAAAATAAGCTGGTAAAATGTAATTTTTACGCGTTAAGAACTGTACTTAATTTAAGTAGATCTACTGAGTACAAAGACTGTTTCGGGCTTGCTAGTATGAACACCTTAACCCAAAGACGTTTTACTGCGTCTTTAATCATGTTTTTTAAGGCATACAAGCTACAAGGAGCTTTGTATGTTTCTAATTTTTTTACACTTAGAGTCGGTCATTACAATTTGCGCTCCTCTGCTCTTAATGTTTCCCAGCCTGTAAGTACCTCTAGCCATATTCATAGCTGTTTCTCATATATTATATCTCATTCTTGGAACCAGTTACCATCTTCAGTTAATCGGCAACCACTCTATCAGAATTTAAGTCTGGCCTATCTCGCATAACTACGCTTGGCTGTAAGTGTAATAAGTGTATTAGTATACAACTGTAGGGGTAGGGTTATAAAATTGGTAATTAGGTTTGGGGTTAGGGCTCTAATGTTAGGTGATTAGGGCTGGTGGGGTTTCAGGGGAGGTTCAGGATTGGGATTAGGGGTAGGGGGCTAGGTGATACTTTTCCGTTTTATTATATATTTAACTTGGACATATATTTATATACACATTTTTATTTTATTTGTCGAGCGTTTTTAACATGAGCCATTAGCTATAGGCTCGGGGGATTGGGTAGCCACCCCCTACGTTACCGACGTGAAATAAATTGTTGTTGTTGTTGTTGTTGTTGTTGTTGTTGTTGTTATCAGTTGTACGAAAGTAAACGACCAACAGCGAAGAAGATAATTAAACTGTTCCAAGGAGAGCCATCAACCCTTGCTGAACGTCAGAGTCTCGACTATTTGAAGAAATTTGTTAAGTCTTGAAAGGGTAGGCGCTATCTGTTTCTACGCTTTTGCACAGGGAGTGATGTGATCACCTGTGACTCGATAAGAATTTGCTTCTCTTCGTTGGAAGGGCTCCAGAGACGCCCTGTGGCTCGTACTTGTCTTCCCATTCTGGAGCTTCCTACGTCTTACGAATCTTTCCTGGCCGCTCTTGCTGAAGAGTTTACGAACATCATGAAGGAAAGCCAGGCACGGTCATTTGACATAATTTAAAACACCGAATGCAAATATGGCGTCCAAGTTGAGTTGCCATTGTTCTGGACTCACTAGCCTCTCGCTCATGTAATAATCCTTTTGTTTTTCCACGTGAAGACGAGGCTAGTGAGTCCAGAACAGTGGCAATTCAAATTGGACGCCCTATTTGCATTCGGTGTATAGCGTTTCCCTTATTTTTTTAAAACAGGCTCAATTTTCTTTGTTAAAAAAAGATTGCTGTTAAAGTAGTAAACTGTTACCTTGCGCACCCCCATTGTTTTGTTAGAGAAAAAAAGTAGTGTGCAAGGAAAGAGAACAGTGCACACTTAGTTTCATGTTTTTGTTACAGTTCAAATGAGTATATACAATCAATTTCTTGACTATTACATGTTAACAATTGAGGTACATTGATTTTATTTGTTGCGTTTCAATTTTCTTAGAAATTTGTTAGTAAAAACTAATTGCGGATAATTCATTGTTTTGTGAGAAAAAAGTTTTCAAGGGAAGAGAAGACTGGACAATTAGTCATGTTGTTATTACAGTTCAAATGAGTTACCGTCGTTTTCACTGCTCCCCGAAAATCAAAAACCTTGAGAATAGACTTCCGACGATTTCCGTCCATCAAGCTCCACTCACACACACTTACGAATTTCATTGGCCAAAAGTGACACATAACCTAACCGTTAACGTTTGAAAAGTAAAACTTCGCACCAAATTCGTCACCAGGTGTGGGTAGAGTTAGATTGACGGAAATCGTCGGAAGTCTATTTTCACAGCATTTTGATTTTCGGAAGTCGCGTAGCAGTCAAAACGACGGTAACAGTATATGTAATCAATTTCCTGACTGCTGCATGCTAACAAATGTCGCACATGGATTGTATTAAATTATTTCAACAAAAAATTAATTGTTTTAATCGACGAGTTTTTTTTTTTCTTTCAGGAAGGGCGGTGGGGAGGTGGGGGGAGGTATTCACCCCAGAAAAGTGATGAGCTGCGACAAAAACTTCACTAGTTTTCTCAAACGGAGAACAAAAGTGCGTGAAGTTAAAACTGATGTACTGTGTTACGCATGCCCCAGGCCTTTTAGATTTTGTCTATTTCCTCAAGTAAGGCGACCTACAAAGTTGTTGCCTCTTCAGGTGTGCGAGGAAATTGTAAACTTTTTTCCCTCATTATGATTTCTGCCAACTGTGTAAATTCATCTGAGCAACCACTTTGCGAAGGTCGATAGCAGCATCTCCCCTCTACAAGTTCCAATTCGTCCAAGTCGACATCCACCATACAGTTCCTTGTACCCGACACTTCCGGTAGAAAGAACAGCACATCAGGCCTGCCAGATGGAGATTCCATGTTTGTTGAAGGCCGAATTCGATGGAGATTCCACAGTCTTGCTGCCCGATGAAGTTCATCACGCAATATGGGCATGAAACAGTACTTGAGACATTCTACCTCAATACTGTCATTGTCATGGCGAAGGCCGCAGCTCCTCGTATCTTTGAAAAAATCTATCCACCATTTGGTGCAGTCCTTCCCCAGTATACTCCACCAGGCTTCGTTTCGTTGGATAGAAACTGATTTTCGATATATGAAACTGTCATCCCCCGTCCAATCATCTTCACCATCTCGTCTAATAAACCTTTGTACCGCTGCGACATATCCATTCTCAGTTCCGCAATCAGCTCTGATAACCCTTGCAGTTCCTCCAAGTTGCCGCACACAGTGAACAAAGTACTAAGAAATAACGGGAGGATCATCGTTGGTGTATCCAACATCAAGCCATAAAATTCGCCTACTAAAGCCATCGATGGCTCCATGGATACAAAAATCAGACGGTTTCAATTTATGATAGCCATCAATGTGCCACAGATGGTTGGGCCCCTTGGTTATGTGTTGCTTCCTTTTTAGCCTGTACCTTGCTCTTAACTCAACCCCTTCAGGATCAAGGATCTTTAACAACTCCCGAACGGTTTCTTTGGCAACAACAATGCACGGGTCATTGACTAATCGTTGAGTCATTTGCCCGTATCCTACGTTACTACCGCTTCCTCTAAGTTTTTCTTCCACAGCTTGAACAACCTCCCTTAAATCACTGGCGTTTCTTCTTCGTCCGAGTCCTTTGGCTTTTAAAATCCTTTTTAATTGTCTAAGGCTTAAGTTGATGTCATGACTGACTACAAGAAACAAAATCTCTGTATACTCCAGCCCAAGATGAAAATAGCTTTCGATTAGATCATCACGTCCAGCGGGGTGTTCTTGCAATGTAGGAATGTAGTTTGGAAGTCGAACACCATCACATGTGGACGCTTGTAAAACAAATGTCAGAATTAGAAGCACGGCAAAAGCGCTGGCCATTTTCGTGTCCCACTCAAGAGAAAATATCTCGTTCAAACAACGGTATTAATGTTCAATGTTCACTAACTCCACAGCAGTAACTAGATTGGGGTCAGCAGCCTTCCACAAAAAGTCAGGAAAAAAGTCAGGAAAAAAGTTGGGAAAAAAGTCGAGAAAAAAGTCGGGGGAAAAAGTCGAGAAAAAAAGTCGAGCAAAAAGTCGAGCAAAAAGTCGAGAAAAAAGTAGGGAAAAAAGTCGAGGAAAAAAGTCGGGGAAAAGTCGGGAAAAAGTCGGGATAAAAAAGAGAACGCGGGCAAAACTTCGGGGGAGATTTAAAATTGGAAGTGTAATTTAATGGCACTTAATGGGCTCCGTAGAAAACACTGCAGTGATAACATTACATAATTTCAATTCAGTTTGAGGTTGGAAGAATGATAGCTCTGAATCGGTTTCAAGTACATCCGTTGTCGTTGCTTCGTTTCAATCGTCAGTTCTACGCGTCAGATTTCCGTGATGCCTTGCCTTAAGAATTCATTTTCCGCTCATGCCATTTTTCCTCAGCTCTGCTTGTTTGTTCATACAACAACTCTCAGCCACTTGAAAGTCCAGATAAGGTGCCCGACGAAAGATGCCGCGGACTTTTGAGAAGTAAATGCTCTCTCACTTGTGGCGTTTTAAAAACGTGGTAGTTTTTCCCGTAAGATGATTCCTACAGGAGACTCAATTAGAATTAGATCTCACTCCTTAATTGAATTAATTGCTGCGTAGCGAGCGTAGCGAGCGAGCAGCACCTTAATCAGCATTGGAAAAGAATATAGGGAATATATGGCTATTTACCAGAATGCATTGCAGCTTTTAACCAGAGTGCACTGCGCCATGATTGTTGTGTTTAGTGTATTGCGTTACATAGCGTTACTACTGTAACTGTAAATCGTGTTGTTAATCTACTTTCCTAAATAAAGGCAAATTAGCGATTCGCGAGTATTGTATGGTAAATCTACTATCTTAATCACTGAATGAAAGACAGTTGAATTAGGGCAATGAAAGGAGTCACTTGATCAATAAATAACTCTACCTTGCGTAAGTGACACGCCGATAAACCGGAAAGCACAAGGCAGTCGACCGATTGTGTTCACAAGACCTGTGCGACTCCTACCATTCGCTAGCTCTTTTAAATCTTATACCCTCAAATTAAGCTCTAATTAGGATAATTTCCTTCACGATGTAGTAATAGGGGTTAGTTTTAAGAGGTCATTTCCCCATCTGTATGTTCTTGAGGTTTGGCAAAGCCGGATGAGATTGTGTTACAAAAGCCAATATTTTTCTTCTGTGCGTGCGCTATTTTCTCTGTTTTAATATACTTTCTCTCCCGAAAAATAATAAATAACTTTAGAGACAATTTCAGAGATAACTTCGGAGATATTTTTCTCAGTGTCAGTTTTCGAACACCCAGGTAGATGAATCGCGTAAATTAGGTGACTATCAACAGAATGTGCCGCACTATTACTATCTTTTAGATACACTAGATTTTAAACTTATTGTGATCTCCCTGCCCCACAATGCAGCCATAACTTCCAAATGGCACTCCAGCGTTAACGCATGCCAGTTAAATTTTGACTGAGGCACAAGATTCCCTGAATGGCAATAAGAAATTGGGATACACGTCTATAAATTCTTTTCAATAAGAATGTTTCTTTTTTGTCATTTGCTAGAATTTGTCGACTAATTAACAATTATTCCACGAGCGCGCGTTGGAGATGAGATGATAGATAGCCAACTCAGCGCTACGCGCCTCGTTGGCTATAATCATAGATTGATGATTATTTGTCAGTGAAATGTCCAAAATCTGCTTTCCTTCATAAATTCACCCCGACGCTGTACCAACGCCACACTCTGCCAAACGATACCAGAAGCTGATTGGGCCAGGGTTCTCTACAAACTGGTTCAAGACAGAGGACCCGATGAAAAAGTATTCTGCGTAGAATATCAAAGACATCCATGATAAAAGCTTCGAAAACTTTTAAGGCTTCAATACAATACAATATTCAATATACAATACAATATACAATACAATATTCAATACAATACAATATTAAATACAATACAAGAAAGCGAAATCGGATTATTATTCTTCTCGCTTAACTGAAACCCAAGATCCTAAAACGATGTGGAAAACCCTGAAAGAAATCATGCCAAACAAGAAAACTGCCGATGCGTCAAAAARCAGCAGCTTGTCTGCATCAAAGTTCAATCACTTCTTCACTTCCATCGCCGGCAAACTGTGTGAACGATTTCGACTAAGCACTTTCATAAAACCACAAACACCCAGAGTAAACAAAAACTTTTCTATGGAAGAAGTGAACGAAAAGTTTGTCTGTGACGAACTGAAGAGACTTAAATCAAAGAAAACCATTGGTCTAGATGGAATGTCTGCAAGACTTTTAAAGGATGCAGCTCCTGTGATCGCGAAACCCATTACTTAAATCATAAATTTGACTATTTCAATTGGTGAAATTCCACCAGAACTCAAAGAAGCGAAAGTTACGCCTATATTCAAAAACGGCAAAAGAAACGAAGAAAGTAACTATAGGCCAATATCCGTGTTGCCCCTGGTCTCCAAGATTATGGAACGTGCAATCCAAGTACAGCTTGTGAAATTTCTTGAAGCAAACGAAGTTCTGTCAGTGTACCAATCTGGATTCCGAAAAGGACATTCTACTGAAACTGCTGTGACTTATCTCACTGATCAGATTTTGGAACACATGGATAAACAACAAATGACTGGCTCTGTCTTCATCGACCTAAAGAAGGCTTTCGACGTAGTTGACCATAACTGTTTGTTACAGAAGTTAGAACACTATGGTGTCAGAGGGAAAAGCCTCACATGGTTCCAGAACTACCTAGAGGGGTCGTAACGGGGGGTCACGCGCACAGTTCACGGCAATTAAAAAACGCAAATCACGAAACACGATAATTAATTTTCGAGTTTCACGGTTCACGGAAAATAAACTTACACATGAGAAAGACTTGTCGCCTTACCCTATATATATATATAAGTTTACTATTTTAGTATATAAATGTTTACGGAATCTCGTTCCTACATACTTAAAAAACTATTTTAAAGTTAACAGTGACGTACACAATTATAACACTAGGCAGAGGAGAAATAGTCACCCCAATAAAACAAATCTTGTTCTTGGAGGGCGAACTTTTAAAAATTCAGGACGTTTAGCCTTTAATTCACTGCCAAGCAAAATCAAAGAAATTTTTAAACGCCCTCTTAAAGGACATTTTATCTGATTTTATCTCTTCTTTTAATCGTAGCAAATTTTATTCAACTTTGTAATTTTATTGGAGATGTGTATATGTAAATTTTATAGAAACCAGGGCCCCAAAGGATACCAGCCTCGTAGCTGACTGGGCCACCCTGGCTAAATAAAGTTGTGTTGTCTTGTCTTGTCTTTATTTAACGAAGGTGACGTAATTAACCCAATGAGTTATCTAACTTAGGGCCTTCAATGCTTCGATGCAGGGTAGACCTGTACTCTTACGGCTAACTTCTCTTGGTTTCTTGGTTTCTTGGCAATCTAACGACCATTCTCCACCATTGCCTCAAATACAAAGGGATTAATTCCGATAATCTCCTGAATTCATCACCACACAGAGGCCTATGCCACAGAAGGTTATCACAACGGTTGTGTCTCGGTGGACAGCGATCGCAAGGCAGTTAAAAGATAGAGACTATGGACTCAGTTTTAATCTTTTTACCGAGCTGGGAATCGATGAATGTGGGAGCAACTGCAACGAGAGCCTTCGCAGAATGAATGACAAATTCAACCGATGGACTGTGGATGTAGTGACAGTAATCAAAGGTGGCAACAATGCCCTGAGAATACTGTATTTGGGATCTCCAGAAAAAACTGCCAAGGATTTACATAAAATAAATAAATCAATTTACATAGATGACCCTTCTAAGATGGCCGAGTGGCCGCACATTTATGCCTCAGAGCAGAGCAAAAACCCAGACGGGTAGAAATTCTAGAGAGGAGATGGCGTCCTTAAAGGCCAAGCTAATGTTAGAAAGGCGATTTATGAGGCAACCAATTTCACAAGCGACACAGGTCTACAAGATAATGAGGATGGGGATTTAAGAGAAGAAGAAGTAATTAGTTTTGCTCGTTTCTTTGTTACTGAGCTGCGTACTGTCAACATACCATGGTCTTTAAACGTCTCAAATCGCTATTATGATATTAAAGAAAAGACATAGAGAACGGTAAGATTAAATATTAAGATTAAATATCAAGCTCTAAACATGTCCAGAGCATGATGCACGATCCTCGCAGTAGATAGCGCTATTTAAGCAATAGCGAAATTCAGACCTGAAAAAAATCAGGCCTGTACGGGATTCGAACCACTGACCTCTGCGATACTAGTGCAGTGCTCTACCAATTGAGCTAACAAGCCAACTGGGAGCAGGCCGTTAAGTTGATTCGTAATAAACCCGTGAAAGTGATAAATCAGATACAATGAAATATATGAAGTTCATATATTTCATTGTATCTGATATGTTGTCCAGAGTGTTTGACAACATTCGTAAGGTAATGCCATAAACTTAGGTCTCTGCATTTATCTTTTATCGGACTTAGTGCTAGGGCTTAGGCAGATGAAAACCCACGCCATTACCTGTTTTTTTTCCCCTTTTATTCGATGAAGATTCCCTAGTGTCTGAGTACTAATTTACCGTGACTTCTATTTTATTTGTGGTCAAATTATTATATAAAGGAAAGATGGAATTCAAATCCTAACTTTCCTCTCAAGATGAAAAATTACACCAGCTTTCAATGTGTTGAAAAGAAACGCAGAAATTGAACAATCAAAACCACAGGAATTCACCTTCCACAATGAAAAGGCCATCGTTACATGAGGGTCTTGAACAGGTGAGTGAGGGCGGGGGCGGGAGTTCGAGTTCAACTTATTTCATGGTTCAATTTTTGTTCTAATACTCAACCCCATTCTTGTTTTTCCGTTTGGGATTCAACCAGTAGAAAGGATAAAAGAACCCGGTTCCCCTTCGCTCACTGTAATGAAAATTACTTGCCTTGAAAATGAAGTTTGACTGCAATACCACAATGGGAGGAGTAGTTTTTGTTTCCTTTCTATAACTTCTCTGTTCCCCCTAGCAATATGGAATGACATTCTAAACTAAATGGCGGGAAAAATGATCTTAGAATGAAGGCTACGTTTATCATAGCTTCCTTGAGTAGGTCCGAAATCTGGCATGCAAGCATTGTTAACCTCTGACGGGTAGACAGGTGTTCATGTTACAAAAGGGACATGTCTTCCAAGAAATGTTATTAAAAAAAATTCCATCTCTTGTATTTAAAGAATGCAACATTAAAAGAGGAAAAAAACTAGCAGAAATTTTTCGGGTAAAACGGTATTGTTGATCAGCGTTATATTACGTTGAAATCTCTTAATTCCTTCGTAAGAGATAAAAGAATAAACTACGACTATAAACGATCATCGAATTCAGTAATTCCATTCTCAAGTCATCCTGTCAACGAATTAAGGGAGATATTATTCACAAACTTTGGCACGAGAACCAGCAGAAGACAAAACATGAGTCCCAATAAAGATTTGATGAGACCACTCTATTCTTGCTGTCGGCGAAAGATTAGATTATAATATATTGGCGGTGGAATAGTTCAGAAGTATGAAACTAATTGGTGACACTTTTCATGCACTAAGTTCATATCTCTAGCTGAGAGGGGCAGAGTGAGATGATATTCATCATCATCATGATAAAGTCAGCATTATCGCCACATAGTGAAACAATGGCGATTTGTATCGAAGGTCAAAGGATTTTGATGCGGTTTATTCTGAAGTCCCACTGTTGAACCATTCCTTGCTTCACTCTGACGATGAGTTTTAATCACGTCAACGAAACGCCGGTCTGTCGGACATCAATATCGATTTATTATTATTGCAAAACTAAAAATTGAAAAACCTGTTGTTAAGGACACGCTTGCCATAGTCACACTTGTCCTATGATATACTTGTGACAGCCAGCACTACAGCCCACTAAAAAAGAAGGAAATGGAAATGTAGTAAATAGATACGCTTGTCATAGTTCCAGTAGGTTTGAGTGTCTATTGTACAGGTACTTACCGCCCACTGTTTTTTAGCTTTTTTACGTCTTTTTATGAAATTTGCAGATTTCTTATTTCGGGGAAATTCTTCTAAACCATCAATTTCCTTGTCTTTTAAGGTAAAAGTTTCGCTCTATAAAGAAAAGATCAATAAATTAAAAGATTAAAGAGAGATTTGTTGCTATCAAAAAATATTTCAGCTTAGCGGGAACTGACAATAGCAATCGCCTGGTTTGTTATTCGTCTGCATGTACCGGTGAGATCACTCCGTGGGCCACTTCTCACTTGACAATAGAAAAAAATTTTTACCATATTTCAGTCATAAATAATAATGAAAACTGTGAGGGAGAGTCTGGGTAAAGATACGTCTTCCCCTAGTTTTCAGGTACGTTGACAGTATACCTTTGATCTCAGTTGTCTACAAGGAGATACATTTTATGTCAAGGAAAAAGACTATGTAGTAATTCGTGGAACAGTAAGAAGAAGGTTTAACTCAACAAAGGAAGAACAAATCAATTTAGCGTGACAAGTGTCAAATATCTCAAGGGGACATCTACCCTTTTGTGGAATCTACACCTGCGAACTAGTCACCGAGATAATTCTGCCCTGTCTTAACACCGATTCAATGATGAGTCATTAAAAGATAAGGTATAAAAAGCACCAAACTCTTCTTTATTACTCAAAATTCTTAGCTCACGCCTGGTCGTTGAGCCTGAAAGAAGAGGCATAGGGTAAGTTTTACACAACTGTTGTGTTCCTAGTTCTCTTTGAGACAGCCAATTTGGGATAGAATTATCAAACATTGCAGCCAAAAAAAAAAAACACCCAGGTTAGCCAATTATTCTTGTTATGATTCTGCTTCTTTTTGAAACAACGACTTAGGATTGAGTTATCAAACATCAAACTTCAGAGACCAGAGCCAGCCAAATATGGTAAGTTTATTCTCCGTCGTCATCCTCTTTTTCTTTGAGACAGACGAGTTAGTGAAATGTTATAGAACACTGTGGCCAAAAGAAAAAAAAATACAAAAAAAAAAAGCTAGCGACGGAATCTTCTAAAATTTTAAAGTGTTACTAACTGATTTGGGGCAATGTTCCTATAAGGGCCATAGACCCGTTTCTCGAAAGTCCCGGTAACTTAAAGGGCCAGAAGCCATGTTTTAAAACCAAAGTTTATAGGATAGGAAAGCAGGTTCTGGCACTCAAACCAATCCTTTTTGTTTCTTTAGCTGATAGTTTTATTGTATCATTTTCAAAAATTTTGAATCCCCATCTTGAATAAAAACCGAACAGCTTTGCGGGCCCGTTAAGTTACCAGGATTTTCGAGAAATAGGCCCCAATATTTTCAATTTCCGGGGTAAGTAACCCCTTTTTTTGTCCGTGTGGGCTATTTTCAGACAGTTTTATTGTTTTCACCCACATATTAGTTATTACTTGCTAACGCCTTCCAAATTAACTTATAAGACCCTTTACTTTTCTTTGACGAACTTAATAAATCTGAAAAAAAGATTTAATAAGGTGGAAAGCCTGTTCTTTACCGTTCAAAGTGATATTACTTAATCTAGGTAAGGTTTAAGTTCAATTGTAATTCGCTTTGTTTTATTACCAACTTTCGGCTTTTAGTTCTATTTATATGTGTGAGTGTTCTGAGAATTTAAGTGGAAAGTTTATTTTAGGCAAAGAACCTGCCTCGATTGCCTCTTGATTCTTGTAGAGTTTCTTAATTCTGGGTTTTGCAATATATTTCTAGGTAATCACTGCTGGTTACCAAAGCTGGAATATTCCTTATAGAACTGTTTCATTTTGACGACTATTATCTCAAAGCTTTCTTAGCATTTCTTTCATGGTCTTTTTCCCTTTTTCCCTCTCTAGCAGGAAAAAGTGTCCATTGATATTTTCTGTGATGAGTAAATTTTCCACTTCAGAAACTCGATAAATTTTGTCGACCCAAACGATGCAAGTATGAGAATCATGTAACCTTCGTTTCTCCGACAACAATAATTGAATTAATTCAAAACTAGGAATATCCCTTTCTGTTCAATTTCGGTGCCTATTTTGAAGAAAATCATCTTGTATGTTGGCTTGATAATTTCCTACCAGTCATTTCTCTGAGTTCCGTGTTGGAGATCCATCTCGATGAAACTCATTGTTAGTGAACCTTTCCAGTTTTAAATCGCACTGGGAATCATTCTTTAAGCCCATGTTCACCAGTTTTCTGGGAACTTTTAGGCAGCTGTCACTGATTAACCGCCAAAACTGACTCGTGTTTTCGTTATTTACTTTCCTTTAAGCTTGTTGAGGGTCGTCGGATGTTTATCATGTTCACTCTCATAACCAGTTAGCTCATGCTGTAGAAGGAAGAACACGTGTCAACTATTTAGTGGGGCGAAATGGTTAATATTTTTTTTTATCTTAAAGTAGGATATTCGAGAGGAGCCGCCTTTTTCGGTCCAGAGAGACGAATAAATTAAAATAATTATCATCTCTCAGAATGCTTTGAATCATAATTTTATAATGAATCAATGGACTTGCAAGTAGCGCTTACCTCAAAAGTTATTTTGGCATGTCGAATGTGCATGTATTCTATCACAACCTGCATATCAATAGGCAAATACATATTCGTGATAGGGTTCAAATAATGGAAATCATACGATTGGACTTATTGGCTGGCCACAAATAATAATAATAATGATAATAATAATAATAATAATAATAATAATAATAATAATATAATAGAGGGGAGAGGGGATCCTAAGAAAAATGCAGAAAGCTGTCCTTTCGAACACCTTGAACATTTCAAGAACTTTTAAAGTTATCACTAGATAGCTAAGGAGCTCATTTATATAACTTTTAGAGATTTTTCGTACATAAGTTTCTTGTATTTATCAGTTTATTAGATATATATATATATATATATGTATTTTATTATATAATTTTTATTCATTTATTTATTTACGTTTTCAAAGTTTAGGAAGATTCTATTCCTGCACGCAGCCTGAGCCACGTTTATCGCCCCAGCCCCCAGTCTGTGTATGATCTTATGGCAGACATAAGCTTTTAATACTGTCGGATAATAATAAAGCACAGTACAAGGGTTATAAGATCAACCAATACAACGTGATCATAGATGTGTTGGGAGGCGGGAGGCTGGAGTATGGACATGGAAAGATCCCTCAGGATGCTCCTAGGTTCTAGGTACAGAGAAGTCTTAAGGCTAATGCAGAGATCGGTCATTTCAAGTACGCTCCACATCGCCCGGACATTCAAGGTTGCTGTCTAATTGACTTTAAGATAGATTGCAAATAGTTAACGAAACTGATAGTAACCAGTGGCCAGTCTTTCTAGAAAAAGGTTAGGACGTCGTTTTTAAATCAGATTTTTAAAGGAACACGAGTTGTCTTAATTAGTGTTATTAGTTTCCCACCATTTCTTCGCGTTTTATATTATAGAAAGATATAATCTCGGTAGGAACATAGGTTACGTTGTTACGCCCTGATTTTTTTTTTTAATAAGCTCAGCATCGCGAAATAATAATAACCAGCTCAAGAACCTTTTGTCTTTCTATGGTTAGCAAATTGTGTCTTGTATGCGGTTGTAGCGGCGTTTTTGACAGTGAAAAGATGGACGAGAAAGAAAACTTCTCAGACAGGAAAAGGTAAAGCGGAAGATAAGCAGATAGAAATGTACAAGAGGCAGGCTGGAGAGATTCGAAAGAATATTTCTATTGCAAAAGTAGAGATAGAAGGAATAAAATCCAATCGTAAGATCACAAGAAAAGGGAGGCGAAATCAAGCTAAACTATCGAAGTCCTGCAAAGTGATCTCGGTCGCAGCGTTACTGAGTTACATGGAAAAAGAAAAATCTAAGTTGAGAAAGCTTAAGAGAAGTTTTGAACGGAGGAATAAGCTTGATGAGGTCAGACAGGTGAACAGGAAGTTTCAACAGGATCCCGGAAGTGTATATTCTTGTTTTGGAAAAATGCTTGAAAGACAACGAGAAAACGAGAATCCAAGGTATGATCGTACTCTGTTGCAAGGGCAACAGGACGATAGGAAGAAGTTTGAAAATATCGAAGAAGTGCGTGAATTTTGGAGAGCATTATGGGAAGGAACCGGGAGTGGAAACGCTGGAATCGAATGGGTTAAGGATGTAAGAGAGGCAATGAGGGAAGCTGTTCCTGAGATACCCACAGCCGAGTTTAAACTTACGGGCGACAAAGTAGGGCAGTCGATCAGAAAGAAGAAGAACTGGAGCGCGCCTGGCCCAGATCTCCTTGCGAATGTTTGGTGGAAAAAAGTAATTGTCTTGCATCATGACGTGGCTGGGAGTTTTGAAGCAACCGCGGCGTATAAGAGAGACTTTCCCTTGTGGTTTTCCGGAGGGAAAACTAGTTTGCTACCTAAACCATTTACGAAAATTTACGAAAGACAACCAGAGAAAATTTACGAAAGACAACCAGAGACCAAAACTTGTCTAAATACCTTGTGCAAGTGGTACACTTCGTGCCTCCTTGTGGATGCAAATCATCACCTACTGAGTCGTGGTCTAATGCAAGGAGACCAAAGGGGGGCTAAACAGGGCTGTCCTGGTACTGTCGACAACCTGCTCATTGATCGCATGGTGTACCAGGATGCACAGACAGGCCATAGAAATCTGAGCGTCACGGAATCTAAGCAGGGTTACGAGAGTTCAGAGATTATCCATTTCAAGAAGGGTCTGCCACAAGGTGATTCCCTTTGTCCAACATTGTTCACCCTGTGCCTCAATCCTATTGCTCGGAAGTTGAGAGCCACAAACGGTTACAAGTTATCAAAACCGATCTCCTGTAAGGTTACACACCTGTTATACATTGACGATTTGAAGATGTATGCATCATCGGAAAGCAATTTAGAAAGAGTCATGAGAACTGTAAAGGGAGGAATGTGCTGCATTGGATGGAAATGGAACGAGAAAAAGTGTGCGGTAGTGCATGTGAAGAGAGGATGCGTAAAACAAACGGAGAACATGGAGATTGATGAGCTGAAGTCGATCACGAGCCTTGGAGAAGAAAGTACGTACAAGTTTCTGGGTGTACTAGAGAATTCTAAGCAGGAAGATAAGCTGGTTCTTCAAAATGCGTCGAAAGAGTACTTGCGCAGATTAGCGATTATTTGCTCCAGTCCACTCTCAGACCATGCTAAGGTAGCTGCAACTAACCAGTATGCGCTACCTGTATTATCGTATTTTATGTGGACATAGACGTAGCCACTAGCGCATCTGCAACAAGTAGACAGAGATGCAGGAAAGATCATTGTAAACGGGGGGAAATCACCCCCAAGGATCAACAGCTGTATTATACATGAGCAGAAAGTGTGGGGGTAGAGGATTAAGATCGGTGGAGACAACATACAAGAACATCAAGATTAAGGCGGCTATGAGGCTCTACGGTAACCCATATCCATTCTATGGAGGCAGTAAGGATGTTTGAAGAGGAGTCAGCGAGAGTAGGGCGTCACTTAGTTATCAAGGATGCAGGTAAGTATGCTGAGGAGATGAGATTTCAACTCAAACTGGAGCACCCGGAACCAACATGTATCACTGATGGCGGTAAAGAAGTAAAAGGAAAGAAAGTTAAAGGGTGTATAGCTAAGGCGCGACAGGAAGTGCAAGCCAAAGTGAAGGATCTATTTTGAGTCCTCTTTTCTTTATCGTATTTATCAATGATTTGCTACTTTATATCACAGCGCAGACAGATCTGTATGCTGATGATACGACCATTACCTGCTTTGCCGACTATAAGTTTATGCATAGCCTTGAAGGTGACCTCAATAATTCTGCAACTGAAATCCAAAACTTTGCTATGACAAATAAACTTCCCATTAATGTAGACAAGACAAATGTAATGATCGTGACTGGTAAAAGACTTGAATCCAAGTTGGATTTTCAACCAGCAGTGAAGTTTAGTGATCAACTTAACTTAACTTTATTTAAGGAGGGAAGCGTAATAACCTTATTACAGTTTTGCGGCCCTCACACCCACCCACCAAATCCAGGAGAGGACATCCACCACATATATAGTAATCTCGTGCGTGGGAAATGTAGAAAGGTAGCACATTCTCCTCAGTTGTTTTAAGATCCTGAGTGTTGGTCCGGCCAAGGCTTCAACCCTCGACCTCCCGCACAACAGTCCAGCGCTCTACCGATTGAGCTAACCAGGAGGAGGGATCATGGACTAGTGAGAAATGTTTCTAATGCTGCTCTGTTGGGTTTGGACATTGATAGTTGTTACTGCCAAAAGGCGGGTCTTTTCGTGGCCGCTTACAGCAATGATTACAAACGCTCGATCGGAGGGAGAGGTTTGAACTAATGAAGAACCAACAAAAATACAAGCTTACAAAATGCAGAAATATAAAACTGAAAGGCGGCTAAAGCAAACGCGATGAACATAATAACTAGGAACTTACATTGTATCGGCGCTGTAGGCCGCGAAAAAGGCAACTCTACACCAGATGTTCTCTCGGTGAAATCAACGATGAAACTAAAAAGCTAGAATATTAACAACATGTAAATTATACCGAACGCGGGAAAGAAAAACAAAACGTATTCCCGAGGGAATACTAATGAACTGAAATAAAATGCAGAGAATGCTGAATTCTACAATCGTCACCTATCGTCTAGTCAACATGTTGATAAAATTTGTAACAAGCTTTCACAGCGTATAGCGCTTCTCAGAAAAATCAGAGTTTATGCTAGTGTTATCTGGTCATTTTGTGATAAAGATGTCTTTGAACAGAGTATTGAAGCTGCAAAAAAGGGCGGCCACGATTATTCTGTCTGCTGATAGAGATTCGCCATCTGTACGTTTATTTAATAAGTTAAAATGGATTCTTTTTTAAGAAGAAAAGAAGATAGGCTGTTGTTCTTTAGTTTTTAAACTTATTAAAGGTACCTTACCCAATTACTTAATTCCAAAATTTACAGTTAATAATCAAGTCCACTCCAGAAATACTAGGTATGCTAAATTTAATTTAGTTTGTCCTAAGTATATACGCGAGACAGGAGGTGGAAAGTTCTTCTTAGTCAGAGCTTGCAGACTATGGAATAAATTATCTTTAGAATTAAGACGTACAGATTGCCTTTCTGCATTTAAGAAGAGTCTTTTTAATGTAATTTTTAAAGAACAGTGTAGTCTAAATCATTTTACTATTTAACCCAATAATTACTCTTATCTTTAATTGAGGGCCACAAGTTCATCAGCTTTTAACTATTTAGTGCTACCCTCTATAAATAAAGTGTTTACTCACTTACTTACTATAGTGATGTATAGAACCTTTAGTATTTAGATTGAGGATTTTACTGAATAGCGATTACGTTTAGGACTAAGGTTTTTATGATTAGGAATTGCCACATTTCCCTAAATATTGCGAGGCGCTTTGAGATTTGAAATAAGGGATATTAGATGTTTTATTGCATTTAAGTGTTTTCATAGTGATGTGTGGAACCTTTAGTATTTTGATTGAGGGTTTTAATACACAGCAATTAAGTTTAGGATTTTTATTACTAGGGTTTTCATGATTTAGTCGTTACATTCATTGGCTACGGCTTACCGCCCAATCATTGTATAGGATATCTGGGCATCCAGACGCTTTTACTGCTTTTGCTAATAATAATAATAATAATAATAATAATAATAATAATCAAACAACAAATATATATGAAATACATGTATATGAACTGCGTTATGAAACGTATATGTGCACGATCCTTCGCAGTAAAGCACTATTTAAGCAATAGTGAAAATCAGACCTGAAAAAAATTCAGGCCTGTACGGGATTCGAACCACTGACCTTGGTCAGTGGTTCGGGTACGGGTACGGGATTCGAACCACTGACACTGGTCAGTGGTTCGAATCCCGTACAGGCCTGATTTTCACTATTGCTTAAATAGTGCTTTACTGCGAAGGATCGTGCACATATACGAATAATAATAATCATCATCATCATCATCGTCATCATCATCACCATTGTTAAAATTATTTCTATTATTATTATTATTATTATTATTATTATTACCCATCGACAGGTCCAAAGAAAGATGTTCAGCTTCTGGGTTCTGCTGCAGATAGTCCCCCTGTTCCTGACAGTTTTCAAAACTTGCATTCAAGGTGAGTCTTTTGCCACTTTACAGTAATGGAGCGCCAAACCCAAGAATATATGGTACAAGATGTTTTGAATAAAAAAGCTGAAAGAACATTGTTCAATGCAAATCGGCGCATATTCTTCTTCTTTCAGCCCAAGCTCCATCAACTTGCCCTTACGATACGACATTTGATTTTGAGAGTGCTGCGCAGTTAGGATGCTTTCGGACTATTGCCTCGCCATCGACTGGAACGATTAGCCGCTCTAACGATAAAAAGACTGTGAAATACGGATCATCATCTCTGAAATGGGAAACCACTGGCGCTTCAAAGTTGCAGTTAAAATCGTCAACCTTTACCATTCCTAACAGTTGTCTTAGAAACGGTGGCGTGAAAGTCTGGATCTACAAAGAATCGATGTCAGGAAAAACACTGCAAGTGGAATTCAAATATTCTTCAAACACTGTTGGAAGCTTTACCGCAAATGACTTTGTAGGATGGCGTGGGATTTGGGTCGAGTTTAAAGAATGCAGGACAGCGGATGATAGCTTAGATAGCCCAACTGCTATCGATGAAGTCAATTTTATCGGAAACGGAGCTCAAACTATTTTTATAGACAAGCTCGAGTTTAAGTGTAGTATTGGAAAGCAGTCAAGGGACAAAGTTGTTCCCCCAATTAGTCCGTTCGGTTTGAATTGGTATGACAAAACAGATTTTTGGCAACAGACCTATCGGTGGAGTCAGCAAACAATCCCTGCGTCACCTAGTGCTATTGATGCAAGAAAAAGAAACCATTTGGATCATATCAAAAGCCGGCTAAAGAACTGGTATTCGGATGAGACTGTAACGTCACCTAATTACCCCAGTGGAAGCCCTCTGGAAAAACGATGGAAGAACCTTGTAAAAACATTCAAGAGAGCACATGATGAGTATGATGCTTTAACCTTTGATCCAGCAACTGGAGAGATCGTGGGACCTCCCTTGTTTTGCAGAAATTGTGAACCTGATGATAAGTTCGGAGATATCATGGTTAAATATCTTCTACCATTAGCACTAGAATACCATCTAAGCTCACGTGCAAACGAGATTACAGCCGTTGCCACAGAACAGCGGTCAAAGTTAAACAATGCAGGTAAGAGAGCAAGAGCGATAGAGACCATTGCAGGAAAGAACGTTAACATGAAGGCATTTTTTGAATTGTACCTGCCTAGCTCTTCTACGCTGACTGTGGATCAAATTACGGCTGCAATAGAGACCCTTAACCGCCATCGGCTGAGTAGGATAAACAACCTTCTTGATTTCGTAAAAGATCAGGGATTTAGAGATGGCAGTGGTTTGGGATCCCTTGACCATGAAATGAACCTTGATGGTGCTGGGTTTATGCACTCTCTGTTTCTCCTCAGTGACTCGCTGAGTAATCCTCTGAACAAAAGCAGATTACTGGATTTGATAGCGTCAGCAAAATGGTACAACGACTTTGGTGAGATCTACCAAACGCCATCTTTTGAATTTAAAGGAACAACTGCTGACCGTATGATCACGCTTATGCTGTATAGACTTATCATTGTACTTGTGATGCCCACTGATACGGATGATGAAATCAAAGCTAAAATCCGTGACATGGATGCCTTAAATCGGTGGCAGAATAATGCGTTATCTATCAACGAAGGTCTTGGAGGATTAATAAAACCAGACTACTTGGTGTATCACCACAAATCGTTTTATGGATCAGCCTACGGTCCACCGGCCCTTCATAATGCAGCTCTAGTTCAATATCTTCTGGGAGGAACTGAGTACGCCTTATCTTCAACAAGTGTGAACCATATCAAAGGAGGACTAGAGGCACTGCGACTCATGGCAGTCAAGTACTCCACTCCACCCAGTGTAAGTGGACGTTACCCGGAATACTCGAACATGGCTCTTGTGAAGAATCTACCTGCCTATGCATACATCAGCGTGACTTATCCAGCTACTTTACCGACTTCAGTGCCAACAGGAGTAAGTGTAAGTAGTTTCAGTAATCCAGAATGGTTCCTGCGGTTATACAATGACTCATCTGTCAACAGTTATCTGGAAGATGGAGCACCAACCAAAAAAAAGTACTATTTTAACAGTCTGGGATCCCTGCAAATAATGGAAGCAGTAAGTATCGTTCTCCTTTTTATGGAGCTTTTAAGTAAATAAATTCGAGATCGGTTAACTGACTGATGTTAATGTTGCATGGTTTACCTAGAGTAAATCAATTTAAGTACTCTTAAAATTTAGTTAGGTTTTATTATTTGCTTTCCAACATAATGCTAACAGCACCTTCTATGCATTGCATACATCATTTTCCGTAACTGAAATGTAACTAAACAATGAAATTAAACTTCCAAGAAGTATTCGTCTCTCAAAATGAAACATGCTCAAAATGTTATGTTCATGTGCTTTTGCGCTAATAGGTTAATTCCACTGCCGTATCACAAGGCAACTCGCAAGAGCAGTCCCCTGAAGGTCATTGGTCTAAGAACTTCGCCGCTCTTTCTGTACATCGACGTAAGAACTGGGCAGTGACTGTAAAAGGTTTCAATAACTTTGTCTGGGACTATGAAACTTCAGCGGACGAAAATGTGCTTGGTTTATTTGCCAGTCATGGTGCCGTCCTTATCGCAAATAATGAAACAGCTCTTCAGCATCACGATATTGAAAACGGTTGGGATTGGTCTAAAATTCCTGGGGCTACTACCATTGCCCTGGGGAATCCAAACATAGATGACTTGAATATAGGCAGAACAGGGAGATTTTACAATAAACGCAAATTTGCAGGAGGACTCACTTTTAAGGGGACGATGACCTCGAAGAACGGACTGTTTGGCATGAATTTTGATCAACCGGGATACGACGTATCAGACTGGCGAGGGAACATCGGATTTAAATTCAAAAAGTCAGTGTTCATGTTTGAAAACCTTTTAGTTGGCTTAGGAAGTAACATTGAACTTCGAAGAAATAACAGGAAAATCGCTCAAACATCATTATTTCAAGACAAGCTTTCATCTTCGTCTTTCATCAAAGTTGACGGATCACAAAAGATCGCTTCGGCTGATTACGACCACAGCCCATCGTCATCCTCAAGCACTACTCTCACAGACGCAAAAGGAAACTTCTATTACATACCCATGAACAGTAGTCCAATATTAAAGGTCACCGTTGCAACGCAGACATCCAAAAAAGATGATGGAAAAAGTAGCACATCCGGAAGATATGGTACGGCGTGGTTTCAACATAGCTCGGCTAACCCTAGCTACGAGTATGCTGTCTTGATACCGACTGCATCGCATCATGCAGAGCTTAGTGACCTACAAACGGCCCAAGACAATGCGAACAGCGAGGTCTACAAAGTCTTGAGGAAGAATGCTCGTGCACACGTTGTCCAATTTCTCAAATCACCCAAGTCGTGGTCAACCCTCAGTCATCCTGTTACAAGTTACGTCATGTTTAGAAGTGAGAGTGCTTTGCCAGATGAGGGGCCAATAACGGCAGTGAGCTCCGGAGATTGCCTTATAATGGTGGAGGAAACGACTCATTTCATCCATCTCGCGATAACATATCCCGACCTAGCCTTGAGTGGTGCAGGTTCTCTAACAAATTCAAAAGATGTGGGAGAAAGTTTGCTGTACACCTCTGCAAGTACAGAAAAGAGTGTATCAGTAACGCTCAGGAATCTGGTACAAACAACTGTTGCCGAAACACAAGTCCATGGCACACCTGAAAATTACACGCCCAACGTGGAAATCAGTGGCCAAACTGTCCGCTTTAGAAATCTGAAAAATGGGTTCAGCGTCGAAGTGAAATTAACGAGGATAATATCCTAAGATTTATTTGGAAATTTCTCGGCCGCCAAAATGTCCGGTTCAGGGTACAGCCTGTCTCAGTCATACCTATCACTAGGCTTACTCGAGCTCGCAGAGTAGCTAAAAATTCTTAAATATTTGTCATTGGTGTAATCAATTGATATCACGAGATTAAAAATTGAAGCATAAACATCACAGTGAATGTTTCTATTTGTCCTTTTAGTAATAATAGACCCATGGGACATGTCTTTCAGAGTGAGAAAGAGTCAGATTCGTGAGGGTATTTGCTACGATAAGTGGGTATTTGCAAATACCCATTGGTAAGTATTTGCTACGAAGCTTAGTATTTGCTACGGTAGCAAATACGGAGAGAGGCCATTTGTAGCTTTTTTATTCAAACGATGAACTTTACTGTCATTTGTTTGTCTTCCGTCTCTGGTTTAGTAATAAAACAACAGCTTGCGCGAAGGAAACAACAGGGCCGCGAAGGAAACAACAGGGCCGCGATGGTATTACAGCCGCGATTACCTACTGCACGTAAGGCGCCACTTCGCTAGCTTGACCAATGGTGGCGTAAACCGTGTTGCGTCTTTAAATCGGGAATTTTCATGCTGAAGACTTCGTAAGGTTTGTGTACTGACACTTACAATTAATGTTGTCGATTACGCTCTTTCGCAGTTGAGATGTTTGAATCTGTAGACATATGCTATTTTGTTTAATGCAGAAATCAATTCTTTGTACACAAGCACATGCGAACATGGTGCTGCCGTATCAGAAATAGGGAAAGAAGCGGGAGTTTACCGGTATGATAGTGCACAGGTTGCTAACCAATTAGAGTGCGCGTAGTATACCAGTTATTTTATTATAATATATAGCGCTTTAACGATGTCCAATGAACACATGAAGGTAACACTGCCTAAGGATGAAGTACATCACTATATTCTTCTTTTCAAGGCTATTTTCTTGATTAGACACCCACGGCATTTATTCAAAATTCGGCTTTATTGACCCGGCGTTTATTTGGGGCCCGGCGTTAATCAATTGACTGATCACACTTATTTGTCGACAAGATTAAGCTGTGCAATACCAAATTAAAATAAACACCGTGACCACACCTCAAATAAAAACGCCGAGGAGCTGATAAAAACCTGACGTTACACATCCGACATCTACTTGAATAATGATTATGTAAATATTTGGTTCAAGCGTTTCATAGAGAAAAAACCTGATTTATTTATCTAATTATTCAACTTTTATTCGACAAATTCATTATCTTTACTTCCAATTCTAAGAATGAACGTGATGGAAAAAGGTACCGGTGAGAACCTCACCGTTTATAGTGAAGTCCCAACTTCTGTAGAAGATTTAAATCGACTTAAAAGGCCCAAACAGATTCCAAGGAAATGTGTATATTGTGGGAAAAGTGTAAAGAATTATATCTGCAACAGCAAAAGGAACACAGCGAGTCAAGTTTGGGCTGTATGGCTTTGGGATGCGTATCAGCCCAAATAATGTGAAACACAAAGCCCATCGTGGCGGCGATTAAATCAATCTTTCGGTGAAAAACATCAGCCGACTGAGCCCCAACGGTAGGGTCATGTAATTTACAATCTTGCTTTACGGCCTACTTTCTCCAACTACCCTTCGTTCATCATGCATCTTTAAAAGCTGTGGCAATCAATAAAAGTATGTGCGCCTACAGATTAACTGTAAGAAGTATTATTCAGCAACCAAAAGGTTAGTGACCAAAATTAGTGACCAGCTTATAAATCGTCACCGATTTATAAGCTGGTCACTAATTACAAAGCGACCCTGGTCCGATTTTTGCACCGATCGAGTTCTATTAATCAAATATTTTTCCCTTTGACTATATTTGGATGCGTTAGGACATTATGTACTCAAGGGAACATACATACATACATACATACATACCTACATAAACTTTATTTCCATTCGGATTTATGAATAGCTCTAGATGTGCTAGTATCTCCGAAAATATAGCTACAAAACAAATGACAATAAGTTTAAAATCGAAAGACTCATATAAAACCTCATATAAAACTGCTAATTAATTATATACTAATCCCCACTAGATATAGAACTCCTAATGGCACGTTTAAAAGCGGCTAGAGTGTCCGACATTCTTAATTCATCTGATAAGCTATTCCATGCAGAGGCAGCAAGATACCTGAAAGGGTGAAGTCCAAAAGTTGTGGTCTTCACCGCTGGTATCTGTAATTTCCTTTTACCCCTTAAATCATATGCACTTTGACTGCGCTCTTTGAGAAGTGATGTGATATACCCAGGAGCCATGTTGTAAAGGCCTGGCATGCCATGTTGTAAAGGGAATGATTCAATGTTGCCTGTGAATCGACTACACAACCAGAACAAAATTAATGAGTGTGGTGATTGACAACAAACTGACAAGGAGAGAGAGATCAGTTAGAGAAGATACATAAATCATTAAGCAGTCAGTATCATGTACTGAAAAAATGCGATATCTATCACCCAAACTACTAGAAACATTTTACTTTGGTACAGTAATTCCACAAGTAACATATTGCATATCTGTCTGGGGCACCTGTTCTATTGCTAAGTTGTGTGAAATTGAGAGCTTACACGTTAAAGTAGGTAGATTTATCCACAGAGTTCCTCAGAATGTTTTGGAAAGTGAAGCACTGAGCTATATCAAGTGGCAAGATCTAGGATAACGAATTTTCTTTTTCACTGGTGGTAGCGGCGATTAGTGGTGATAATTTTAGAATTATCCCACCCAATTGTATGGTCAGTTAGGCATGTCTGCTCAGACAGGGCTGAATTTTCTTTTTCACAAAAGAAGACAGCTTTTTGATGCTCTTTCAAACATGTGTCAAACTGATCATTAGTCTGTCCGATATACTCGTGATCATAATCATTGCCCGGAATAGAATAAATAGCATCGGTTCGTTGTTCTTTCGTAAGATCCTTAGGTTTGGCAAAAATATGCCCCTAAGTATGGAAAGGTTTTTGAGCAACTTTAACGTTGCGGCTATTCAAAATTCTCTTGATGAGCTCCGTAACACCCTAGATGTAAGGAATAACAACAAAACCAGTCGCCGGTACCATCTCATCAGGAGTGTCACTAGTTGTAACTGGTTTATGGCAGTTACGGAGAAATGTTTTTGTATGGCCATTTGCCTTTTAAACATCGGAAACATTTTTACTCCTCAACCTTGGAATCAAGTGAAGACGGTAGACAGTCATCCCTCCTGAGTAGAGTTTTAGCTACGGACTTTTTATGGTAAATAGGGTGGTGAGAGTCAAAAGCGAGATATTAATGTCGGTCTGGGTCGGTTTATGAATTGTCCACCTGGTTGCTGTGTGAACTTAAATATATCATATATGTTTTAGTTAGGAGTTACACCACATTTCAGGATCTTTTGCTCAGTCTGCTTAAAGTCCTTTTTTTTGGCAATAGTTGAACATTGTTTACTTAGAGGTAATGACCACACAATGGATGCCTATTCAAAGCATGCGACAAAAAACGATTTTTACGAAGCCGCGGCAAACGAAAACAATCTACAGAAACTATTATTACTAAAAAATATGTCCATCAAAAAAGAAATCCATATAAACGGAGAGCTCAGAATAGACGCATTTCAATTTGAGACAAAAACTAACATAAGAGATTTATTCAAAAAATGCGAAAGGTAGAAAACTCCCCAACCCCAGGTTACTTAATGTCTAGACAGCATGCAGACACTTGAATGTAGTCTATACGACCAGGAATTTATAAATAGCATGTAGTAGGCCAGCGGTGATAATTAGCTTGGAAACCTGAAAAGATGCAATTGTTACGAGTTGTCGTCGTTTTTACCTTAATTTGGTTTGTGTCGGTTAACATTTGTCGTGCAAGGAAAGTGCAAGGTAAGCGAAAGCCAACGGCAGTATCCGATGAGATTTACGATTGCGTGATCAAGATTGCTAATGGGGAGCCTCTTCCACCGGGAAAAGAATGAAGCAGCGCAGAATGATCAGCGTATTATACTGGAGAGCGAAAGGAGAGATAACCGTCCAAAAGGAAAAAGAGAAAGATGTGCTGTATCACCGGGGACGTCGAATGCTTTGACTCTCTGAGGTCGATAAACTTGTGGCACAAGAATTTGAGCGCACTAATAGATCAGGCTCAAGAAAGCTAGTGAGCAACTTGCGACATACGTTTGTTGGGCTAGGCCGAGCTGAAGTTCAAAATATCTTGAACTCTAATACGCTTCACTACAGAAAAAATGCTAAATTTCTTAACAAGGCTACACTCAAACCCATTCGTGCTCAAGATGTTCAAACGAGGTATCAGGTGGATTTAGTGAACATGGGCAAGGGTGGAACAGTGTTTCTAAATAAGAAATCATATCGGTATGTAGTAGCAGTAATGGACGTTTTTAGTCGGTTCGTCTGGTTGCGTGAAGTTAGAGAAAAAAGTAGCAAGATCATCTCTGACGAACTGGAAAACATTTATTTAGAGCACGGGCCACCGCGCGTAATTCAAAGTGACCAAGGCGGTGACCATAGAGCTAATAACAGTTGACCCTTCCTTCCATCCACAATCACAAGGGGAGGTTGAGAGAAGCCACAGGCCACTTGGATCAAAAACAAAGTACGACGTCTTAAAAATGGGAAGAAAAGGCGTTAACTGGGCGGAAAATCTGAGTAATTATCAGCGAATTCTAAATGAAGATCCAAAGGAGGTATTAGCATACAAGACACTTTTTATGATCTAGTTCGCTCGAAGAAGTAATTCACTTGATAGGGCATCGACCCCAGGAATGGAAAAAGAACTGCTTAAGAATAAGAGAAAATGTAACCCTAACTATGCGGATCGAAAGCGCCTACAAAACCACGTATCAGTCGTTAAAAAGGACGCCCACACCGCCACAGCAAGAAGAAGAATGAAACAGGCGTATGCAAGAACCAATCCACCCTCAAAATATGCTGTTGGGGGAAAGTGTATGTGTGCCTTCGTGGTAAAGGACGGCTTCAAAATAAGCGTTTCGCTGCTGAGGCGGTCATTGAAAAGAAAAATTTAAAGTGGCACCTTTAAAAAGTATCGTACACGTCTCCCGAAAGCGGAAAAAACGAGAAGAAGTGGTTGGCATTTGATGATTTAACGAGTTTAACCTTACGAGTA